TCCAGACTGAAGGCTACAATCCTTAATCTTCATCAGCAAGTGCTTCATATTCTCCTCACTTTCAGCAAGCAAAGTTGTGTCAACTGCATATTGCAGGTTGTTAATACTCCTTCCTCCAATCCTGATGTCACATTCTTCTTTATATAAGCTAGCATCTCTGATGATTTGCCCAGCATACAGGTGAACAAGTATGAGAGAATACAACCTTGATGCACACCTTTCCTGATTTTAAACCATTCAGTATTATTTCGTTCTGATCATACAACTACCCCTTGGAGCACAATGAAGTGTTCTGGAATTCTTCTCAGTTAGGCATAGTTTATTATGGTCCACACAGGCGAATGCCTTAGCATAGTCAATAAAACACAAGTAAACATCTTTGTGGTATTCTCTGCTTTGACCAAGATCCATCTGTTATCAGCAATGATATCCTTTTTTCCCACTGAACTTCAGGCAGTTTCCTGTCAGTGTACTGCTGCAACCATTGTTGGATGATCTTCAGTAAAATTTTACTTTCATGCAATATCAATGATATTGTTCTATAGTTTGAACATTCTTCTTTTGGATCACCTTTCTTTGGAATGGGCAAAACATGGATCTCTTCCAGTCAGTTGGCCAAGTAGCTGTCTTCCAGATTTTCTGGCATAGACAAGTACTTCCAGGGATTCACCAGCTTGTTGAAGCATTTCAATTGGTATCCCATCAGTTCCTGAAGTCTTCTTTCTGGGTAATGTATTCCATGCCACTTGAACTTCTTTCTTAAGCACTATTGGCTCTTGCTCATATGTTACCTCTTGAAATACTTGACTGTCAACTAGTTCTTTTTGGTACGGTGTATTCTTTCCATCTTCTTTTGATGCTTCCTGTATCATTCAATATTTTGCCCATAGAATCTTTCAAAACTGCAACTTGAGGCTTTAAATTTTCCTCTTAGTATTTTAAGATATGATGAGTGTGTTCTTCCTTTTTGGTTTTCTAATTCTCGGTCTTTTTGCATTTCATTATAATATTTTGTTTTGTCTTCTTGAGCTTCCCTTTGAAATTTTCTACTCAGCTCCTGGACTTCAGCCTTTCTTCCATGTGCTTTAGTCAATCTACAATTTAGAACAAATTTCAGAGTTTTCTTTTTCCCTGACATCCACTTTGATTCTTTCTTTCCTATTTTTTAATGACCTTTTGTTTTCTTTACGAACGATGGTCTTGATGTCCTCCCACAGCTCATCGGGTCTTCTGTCATTAGAATTCAGCGCAGCGAGTCTGTTCTTGAGATGCTCTCAAAATTCAGGTGGGACAGACTCAAGGTAATATTTTCTCGTAGACTTGGTATAATTTTCTTCAGCTTTATCCTGAATTTAAGTATGAGCGATTGGTGCTCTGTTCCACACTCAGCCCCTGCGCTGGTTTTAGCAGCTAGTAATTGAGCTTCTCCAGCATCTCTTTCCACAGATCTGGTCACTTTGATTTCTGTGTATTCCATTTGGGGAAGTCAATGTGCATAGTTGCCTTTTGTGTTGTTGAAAAAAAAATTGACTATGAACAATTGGTTGGTTTTGCAAAATTCTGTTACGCAATCTCCAGCTTAAATTCTATCACAAAGGCCATATTTTCCAATTACTATTTCTTCCTGTTTCCAACTTTTGCATTCCAATTACCAGAAATTATCAGTGCATCTTAATTGCATGTTTGATCAAATTCTTCCAATTTCATCACTAGGTTTTGTGGTTGGTGCGTAAATTTGTATAAACATTGTATTGATTGTATTTCCTTGAAGGATATCCTATCACGTATAGACTTGCACTTCATGATGGATTTTGCAATGTTCTTTTTGACAATGTCACTCCATTCCTCTTGTGTAATTCCCTGCATAGTCAATCATATGATTTTCTGATTTTCTAGCCATTTCAAAATGGCCAGAAAACCATTCAAAACCATTCATTTCAGCTCACTAAAGCCTAGGATACCAACCTTTATGCATTTTTTATGGTGTTTAAGGGGTCAGATACAACAACATTGCAGCAGTACATTGACACAGTGCTGCCAGAGGTTCAGGTCAAATTCAGAAGAGGATGTGGAACAAGGGATACCATTGCTGATGTCTGATGGATTTTGGCTCTAAGAGAATGCCACAAAGATGTTAACTTCTGTTTTATTGACTAAGCAAAGGCCTTATACTGTGTGGATCATAACCAACCATGAATAACCTTGAGAAGAACAGGAATTACTGAACATTTAATTGTGCTTAGGTGGAACTTGCACATGGATTAAGAGGCAGTTGTGTAAACAGAACAAAGAAATAGCGCATTGTTGAAAAACAGGAAAGGTGTGTGACAGGGTTGTATCTTCTCACCATACTTACTCAATTTGTATGCTGAGTAAATTATCAAAGGTGGCTTTTATGAAGAATATGGCATTAGGATTGGAGGAAGGCATATTAACAACCTACAATATGCAGATGACACAAAAACTCATGCTGATGAAGATTAAGGATTATATCCTTCAGTATGGATTACAATTCAATGTCAAGAAAACCCAAATCCTCCCGACTGAACCAACGGTAACATCATGATAAATGGAGAAAAGATTGAAGTTGTCAAGGATTTTGTCCTGCTTGGATCAACAATCATTGCTCATGGAAGCAGAAATCAGGAGATAAAAGATGTATTGCATTAGATAAATCTGCTGCATAAGACTTTAGAGCAGTGGTTCTCAACCTTCCTAATGCCGTGACCCTCTAATACAGTTCCTCATGTTGTGGTGACCCCTAACTATAAAATTATCATCGTTGTTGCTACCTCATAACTGTAATTTTGCTGTTATGAATCGCAATGTAAATCTCTGATATACAGGATCCATTTTCATTGCTACAAGTTGAACATATTAAAGCATAGTGATTAATCACAAAAACAATATGTAATTATATGTTGTGAAATATTTATTTCTAATTACAAATAAATGAAATTTTGTCTTTAATCATGGTGTAGCACAGGTAACAGTCTTAATATAACAACAGTAAAATACATTGCTACATTTTGCGATGGGATGCGTAAAAAGCCAACATCAGTGTGAAGGTTGAGATGGCTTCTTTCTTACCAGATTGATATATCTGCATGTGGGCGGACCCGCCTGGAGACAGATAGAGGAGTGATGTCTCGGTTCCTAAGACCATCGGAAATGTTTTTCAATGGTCTTAGGTGACCCCTGTGAAAGGGTCATTCAACACCCCCCCCCCAAAGGGGTCGCGACCCACAGGTTGAGAACTGCTGCTTTAAAGTATTGACAAGCAAGGATGTGACTTTGAGGACTAAGGTGTGCCTGACCAAAACCATGGTATTTTTAATTCCCTCAAATGCATGTAGAAGTTGGACATTGAATGAGGAAGACCAACGAAGAATCAATGCATTTGAATTGTGGTGCTGGAAAATATTGAAAGTACCATGGACTTTCAGGACAAATTGATCTGTGTTGGAGGGATCATGGCCAGAGTGCTTCTTAGAGGCAAGGATGGGGAAACTTTGTCTTACATACTTTGGATATGTCATCAGAAGAGAACACTCCCGCTTACATGGAGAACAAATGCTTTGAGAATGATGAGGGTAATGAATGTACAAATGTACTTTATACAATTGATGTATGTATGGCTTGTGACAAGAGTTGTATGCGCCCCCAATAAAATGATTTTTAAAAAAATAAGAAATATTTCAAATATATAAAAAAGAAAAAAAGAGAACAGCCCTGGATGTTCATGATTATCAAGGACATGATATTTGGTAGAGGGCCAGTGAGCGAGAAGGCCACCGTGATGGCAACAAAGGGCTTAAGAATAGGAGCAATTGTGAGGACGGCACAAGACTGCCCAGTGTTTTATCTGTTGTGCATCAGGTAGCTATGGGCTGGAATCGAAATGGCAACTAAAAACAAAGGGTGAGGCTAGGGTGAGAACTCCTGGGTATGGTTTGAACTTCCTGTTGTCAAGGCAGGAAGTACTTGGGATTTCTTGTCAGTTTACCCAGGTGTGGGAATGAGAGGAAGATTGAGGAGTGAAGCTTGTCACTAATCAAATATCACAAAATGGAGTCCGATTCTTTATTTTATGATAATGCAACACAACTAATTACAAAGTACAAAATACAGAGATATTGAGTGATATATATATAATATTTCATCAAATTGTATATGTTCTCATTTATATCACACAACTAATTGAAAAGCAAATATTGCATAGAAAATAAAGTGGAAAATTTTTTTGAAAATAAACAACATTTTTAATATTCCTGAAAAAAGTTTAGGAAAAATTAAATAGTATCAATACTGATACAATAATCAAAAATTCAGAAATTATTCTAGCTCTTCACTTTGAATTTCCTTTCATTAAATACACTAGAACAACTTACTGCTCCTGATTTTACCATTTATTGTTTGAATAACAAAGACTTTGTTCACTATCAAGAATGTAAATCTTTGAGATTATTACTAGAAGATCACTCTGTATACTATAATAGTGAAGCATAAATGAAATCTAATGGTTTTAAAGAAAACTGTTAGTATCTAAAGTCCACCTCAGTACTAATTCTGTAAAGTTAGCATTAAAAGGTCTCCTAATGGTCTGAAGTAGTTCTAGTTCTTAACAAAGCACCCGAAGTACTACCAGAATGAAATAGAGAGAAACTAGGAATTCTCCTAGGGAGAACCAGTCTTAGTATAATATAATAATGATCTTATGATAAAGATAAATGAAAAAAGCATTAAATTGTATCAAGGTTAATAAAACTTCTGCCCTGAATATGGGCTGCAAAATAAAATAAGATTTAGTTAAGGTCATTTTAACAATTAGATAACATTGTTAATTTCTATAAATTTCATATAATCAGGCAACTATTGTAACCTATTATTGATTTAATCAACAATAAAGTAGATTGCCTTCATGCTTTTAAATAATAATATAAATTTATGATCTAAGTAATTGAAGAACAGTAAAATAACTGAAGAAATTAGTAATTGGTTCAAAAAAAGGGAAATTGGGTTGTATTTTGTGAGGAAGATGAAACATTTTTTAAAGAGGAAGAATGTGTGACATTTTGATCTTGTCCAAAAGAAAATGGAAAGCTAAAATCATCTTTTCCAGCCCCAAATGCATGAGTTGAAGAATCTAATGATAAAGAAAATCTAAAAGCATCTTCTTCTGGTTTCTCAAATAAGTTTCCTGAGAAAGAGAAATATTATAAATTGTGTTACTCATGTTTTATAATATTTGAATAACATCACTGAATTACACTATGCCACATATACACTATCTAGAATATAATTGAATCCATTATCTATTAAGGAGATATTTAACTATATCCTCTTATGTGCAAGGCATTGTCCTGAGTACTATCGAAGTTTAAATTAAAATGGACTCAAACATAAACCCTACTTTAAAGTAATTTAAATTTTTTAAAATTTGAAGAACTAATATATGGAGCGTATAGCACAGAGGCAGAGAAATAGCTATGCATAAGAAGTCTAAGGTTAACAAATCAATGTAACTTGGCAGGAACACTTAAAAATAATAATAATGTGTAAATGATTACTGAAGATGAGCTTCAAAAGTTTCCCAAATGCTCAACTATAGGATCTGGCCATTAAAGATTTTCAAACTGAGACATATTTTTTTTTTAAACATTTTATTAGGGGCTCAAACAACTGTTATCGCAATCCATACACACATCAATTGTGTAAAGCGCATTTGTACATCATTCTCAAAACATTTTCTCTCCACTTAAACCCC